GGAAGCCGATTATGCAAGCGAGTGTACTCTCGTACGATAGAGAGATAGGGAGCGAGTGTATCTCACATTGAATTAAAGCGACTGTACAAATCATAGAAGCGGCTAGCGACTGTACCGTCAACGGAAGACCGATTGCGCCGTTGTGTGGATGAGTTTGCGATCTGGACGCGTGAGAGAGATGGCCATCTCGACCCCCGAACGCGACCGCGACCGCGAAGCGACATCCCTGCCAGCCGAGCTACTAGCACCACTGAAGAGACGCGCAAGGAACACCACCGAGCAAAACGAACACTACCGCAGGCGACCGCTACAGCTAGACCTATCAGCCGACGACTCCGATACCATCCAGATCGACAGCAGCCAACCTATCCGTCAAGCCAGGAAGAGCACCGCCACCAACAAAGACCTACTTACCGCGTTAACTAAGATCATCCAGCAGCAGAATGAAACAATCCAGAACCTCGAACGCGAGACTAGAGAGATCAGAAAGAACCAGCAAGCGATTATCGACCATAACGCGAAACTTATTGATGAGATTGTTGAGCTAAAGACACGCGTCGATGACCTCGTGGCAGCAACAGCTGGTACGCGTACCTGGGCCGAGGTAGTGTCCACAGGCGCACCCGCAGGACTAAACGCCACAGCCGCGCCGCTAGCAAGCCAGCAGCACACTATCAGAACTAACCTCGCCTCTATCGACGTGCCCAGCGTCACGGTGGACATTTCTAGGGCAGATGGCGAAAATGGCAGATTGTCAGCAGGAGCGGTCAGAGCAGCCGTGGAAAAAGAGATGCGCACAATGGAGAACCGAGAAAACTGGCGATGCCGGGCGGTCACCGTCGACCATGCGACCCAGAGCCGGATCAGGATCGCGTGCAGAGACGAAGACGAGCACCAGCTAGTCAAGAGAGCAGCAGAGAAGATTGGCGCAGGCTCGCGCGTGCTGCGCGATGAACTCTACCCAGTCAAGATTGACAATGTCAAGAGAACAGCAGTGTTGGACGAGAAAAATGAGATTAGAGCGGGAGCAGCAGAAGCTTTTGGCGAGGAGAATGGAACGACAGTCGCCAAGATTGCGTGGCTTAGCAAGAGAGACATCCCTAAGGCGTACGGCTCTATGGTGGTGTACGTGACCAAGAAAAGTGACGCAAGGAGGCTCATTGCAGAAGGCTTCTTCCATGCGGGCGGAGAGTCCGGCACAACAAGCGCATTTGAGCAGCGACCACGACCAGGGCAGTGCTACAACTGCCAGGAGCTCGGCCACAAAGCATATCAGTGTCGAAAGACGCAGAAATGCGGGAGATGCGCGAAAGACGGCCACCACCACAAGAGCTGCAGCGAAGCAGTGATAAAGTGCGTGCTGTGCGGAGGACCGCACGAGTCGTTTAGCAGAAACTGTCGGATGCTATACCCGCCTCAACATGAATAGAGCATTCCACGTAATCCAGCTTAATGTTAGAAAGCAAGGCGAAGTACACGATAGTTTGATGAACGACGAAGAGCTGCAAGACGTGTCGGTGGTAGCTGTCCAGGAGCCACATGCACGGAGGATCCAGGGTCGGCTGCTGACGACGCCCATGCTCCACCACAAGTGGACCAAGATGGTGCCATCGACCTGGCGAGAAGGAAGATGGCCGATACGGAGCATGTTGTGGGTGAACAGAGAGATAGAGGCGGAACAGGTGCGGGTAGAGTCGCCGGACTTGACAGCAGCGATTATCCGGCTACACGAGCGTCGGGTGTTGGTGGTGTCGGTGTATATACCAGGAGGAGACTCGCATGCGTTGCGAGATGCATGTAAAAAGATAGACAGAGTGATTGTGGAGGTAAGACGAAGGGCCGGCACGATAGTAGATGTGGTGCTGGCTGGAGACTTCAATCAGCACGACCAGCTGTGGGGAGGAGAGGATGTGACGCTGGTCAGACAGGGCGAGGCAGACCCGATCATCGATCTGATGACGGAACACGCGCTCAGCAGCCTGCTCCCGCGCGGCACCAAGACATGGCAGTGCGGAGAGTACGAGACGACAATTGACCTAGTGCTAGCGTCAAAAGAGCTGGCAGACACGGTGCTGAGATGCGCCGCCCACGACACCGAGCACGGCTCTGACCACCGAATGATCGAGACAGTCTTTGATAGCTCCGTGCCAGTGGCGCAGCAGCAAGAGCGGCTTCTACTCAAGAACGCACCGTGGAAAGCAATCAATGACAGGATCGCCAGAACGCTCAGCGTGACTCCGCCAGCAGGCACGACGCAGCAGAGGACCGACATACTAATGACGGCGGTGCTGGAGGCGGTGCACGCACTAACCCCCAGGGCTAAGCCGTCACCATACGCAAAGAGGTGGTGGACCCAGGATCTGACACAGCTACGCCGCATCTACACGCACTGGAGGAACCAAGCGAGAGCCGCGAGACGGTCAGGTGTTGCCAGGCCGGACCTAGAGGAGACGGCAAAAGGAGCGTCGAAGCAGTACCATGACGCCATTCGACAGCAGAAGAGAAAACACTGGGATGACTTCCTGGCGGACAATGACAACATCTGGAACGCGGCCAAGTACCTGAAGGCTGGCAACGAGGCGTTTGGGACAGTCCCAGCACTTCGCAGAACGGACGGGACAACTACGAGCGACTTTGAAGAACAAGCTGAGGAGTTGCTTAGCACCTTCTTCCCTCCGCTCCCCAGCAGCATCGACGACGAGGGAGCCAGACCACAGAGAGCACCCGTGGAAATGCCGATCATCACGCTCGAGGAGGTGGAAAGGCAGTTGCACGCCGCCAAGTCATGGAAAGCACCTGGAGACGACGGATTGCCGGTCATAGTGTGGAAGCAGGTCTGGCCAGTAGTGAAAGACCACGTGCTTGCGCTATTCCGACAGTCGCTAGAGGAGGGAGTGCTGCCTAGCCAATGGAGACACGCCAGGATTATACCGCTCAAGAAGCCATGCAAGGAAGACTACACTATCGCAAAAGCATGGAGGCCGATCTCACTGTTAGCCACTCTAGGCAAAGTGCTAGAGTCTGTGGTGGCAGAGAGGATTTCGCACATGGTAGAGACACACGGGCTTCTACCCACCAACCACTTTGGAGCACGCAAGCAGCGATCGGCCGAGCAAGCACTAGTGCTGCTACAAGAACAAATTTATACTGCGTGGCGAGGCCGCCGGACAGTCAGCTTGATCAGTTTCGATGTCAAGGGAGCGTACAATGGGGTGTGTAAGGAAAGACTGCTGCAGAGGATGAAAGCACGAGGCATACCGCAGAAGCTGCTGAAGTGGGTAGAGGCATTCTGCTCAGAGCGCACTGCATCGATCCAGGTCAACGGACAGGCGTCTAAGGCCCAAGAACTGCCACAAGCAGGTCTGCCGCAAGGGTCGCCGCTATCGCCAATTCTGTTTCTCTTCTTCAACGCCGATCTCGTGCAGCGACCTATCGACACGTATGGAGGCGCGATCGCGTTCGTTGACGACTTCACGGCGTGGGTCACAGGCCCGACGGCGCAAAGCAATAGAGAGGGCATCAACGCCATTATCCAAGACGCACTGGACTGGGAGCGGAGAAGCGGAGCGACGTTTGAAGCAGAAAAGACGGCCGTCATCCACTTTACTCGCAGGGCGTATAAGAGTGCCACTGAGCCCTTTGTAATCAAGGGGCAAAGTGTGTCGCCCAAGGACCATGTCAAGATACTCGGCGTGCTCATGGACGCCAGGCTCAAGTACCACAAGCACATTGCAAGAGCAGCCGCAAAGGGACTGGAAGCAGTGTTGGAGCTCAGGAGGCTGCGAGGGCTCTCACCCACAGTGGTACGACAGCTGTTTACGGCGACAGTCGCGCCGACAGTGGACTACGCGTCGAACGTGTGGATGCATGCCTGTAAAGACAAGCTAGTGAGACCTATTAACAGGGTGCAAAGAATAGGTGCACGAGCGATCGTAGGGACGTTTAGCACGGTAGCAACATGGGTGGCAGAGGCTGAGGCGCACATCCCAAGTGCACAAGAGCGGTTCTGGAAGCGGGCAGTCAAGCTGTGGACCGACATCCACGCACTGCCTGAGACGAACCCACTGCGGAGAAACACATCGCGGATGCGAAAGTTCAGAAGGCAGTACCGTTCACCGCTGTTCCAGGTGGCAGAAGCGCTCAAGGACATAGAAATGGAGCAGATGGAGACGATCCGGCCATGCGTCCTGGCACCATGGGAGAAGAGAGTGCAGACCGTAGTCGAGAACGCGGCACAGAAACTCGAGGGGAACTGGGCGGTACGCATCGCCGTAAGCAGCTCGTCGCGGAACGGAGTAGTCGGAATGGGAGGCGCGAGCAACATACAGAACAAGGAAAAACAATCTTTCTCCGTCACCTTGGGCAAGAGAGAGGAACAGAACCCTTATGCGGCAGAGCTGGCAGCAATGGCCGAGGCGCTGAGCAGACTGCCGAAGCTGAGGTATCGCAGCATCGCACTCATAACAAGAAACAAGGCTGCTGTGCTCACACTTAGGCAACCGCGGCAGCAGTCTGGGCAAAGCTACATTAGCGAGTTCTACAAGACTGTGCAGACACTAAGAAGAGATGGCAACACAGTGACAGTACTATGGCTACCTGCAAGCGAAGAGTGCGAGCTCGCAAGCCTCGCCAAGCAAGAGGCGAAGATGGCAACTAGACTGACTGCTAGGGTACAGACACAGCTTCCTAGAATGCGATCAACGACGCACAATATTGCACGTAAGCAAGGCATAGCCAAGAAGGTGCCAGCAGACGTGGGAGCATACTCTAAACGAATCGACACGGCACTGCCAGGAAAGCATGCGCGGCAACTCTACGACGGGCTTTCGCGGAAAGAGAGCAGCGTGCTTGCCCAGCTTAGAACAGGCATGGCGCAGCTGAACACGTATCGGCACCGAATTAAAGCGTCAACGACAGACCAATGCGAATGCGGACAGGCAGCAGAGACGGTAGAGCACTTTCTATTCCGTTGCCGAAAATGGACGACACAGCGGATAGAAATGCTGCAGTGCACGCAGATGAATAG